GGTAAATGTAAATGCAGCAGAGGCCAGATGGTGCTGCTTCCCAGGTAGGGGAGCTGTCCAGCTCAGCGGCATCACTAGGATCCAGAGGGATTCCTGGACTTAGGAAACCCTGTCCGACAGTGCGACCAGCAACACACAGGCACTATGGGGCAGTCCATTAGGAGGGGCTCCTGTCTGGGAGTGGGTGGGCGGAATAAAGAACTCCCTCTGCCTGCCACACCTCCACTGATGAGTCATTTCCTCTCTGGGCCTCAGGCTCTTCATTCATATCATGACAGGAGGGCCTAGTTGATTTCCAAGGGCTCTTCCACCTTCCAGCTCTGTTTGCTTCTGCAGATGCTGCCCCTGCTGCCAGGATCACAAGCCCCACCGCCGGTGGGGACAGGATGATCTGGCAGGCCAGGAAGGAGGAACCTGACACTAACTCCTCCCTGTTGGGATTCTGCCTGGCTGGCTCTAACCCCTACTTATTCTTCCTCCTCTTGCCACCCAGCAACAGAGCACTGTCACATCAGTGTGAGGAGAGAACACTGGATGGTGAACCTGGAGATTGGGGTGACTATGGCTGTGCTGCTCCCCCTTTCTGTGACATTGGCTCATCTGTTAGGCTCTTCCATCATGCTGCAGAGGCAAGTGACAGAATCGAACCTAGGGCACCTGTGACCTAACCTTTCTGAGCCTCAGTCTCCTCATTTATATAATAAGAATGATTATGGCTCTCATCTCACAGGGTCATTATGATGATTGAGTTTCTGAAAGTGTGTCTGAGTTGCTGAAAGGAAAGTGTGGCCAAAACAAGCACCTGCCCATCGTTAGCTGCTATTACATGGGGCATGCAGGACATAAGCAGGAGGAAAAGACATACACTGTTGGAGGAAAATCCAGTATCAGAGAGAGGGAACATCAGGAGGGAGAGCAGCCTCCCCTCCCTGCAACAAAACCTCCTGTAGTGGATTGAATTATGTCCCCCCAAATTCACTGAGGCTTGAATTGTCTTCCAAGTTTTATGTATTAGAAACTTAGCCCCACTGTGACTGTTAAGGGGGTGGGAAATCCTATTATGGTCATTGAAAGGTGGAGCCTTAAAGAGGTGATTGGATTATAGGGCCATGCAGTAGTGAATGGATTAAAAATGGTGGTCAGGGGTGTAGTTCTGAGGGCTTTAAAAGAGGAGAGGCTCTCTCTCTCTCTCTCTCTCCGCTCTCTCTCTCTCTCTCTCTCCGCTCTCTCTCTCTCTCTCTCTCCGCTCTCTCTCTCTCTCTCTCTCCGCTCTCTCTCTCTCTCTCTCTCCGCTCTCTCTCTCTCTCTCTCTCCGCTCTCTCTCTCTCTCTCTCTCCGCTCTCTCTCTCTCTCTCTCTCCGCTCTCTCTCTCTCTCTCTCTCCGCTCTCTCTCTCTCTCTCTCTCCGCTCTCTCTCTCTCTCTCTCTCCGCTCTCTCTCTCTCTCTCTCTCCGCTCTCTCTCTCTCTCTCTCTCCGCTCTCTCTCTCTCTCTCTCTCCGCTCTCTCTCTCTCTCTCTCTCCGCTCTCTCTCTCTCTCTCTCTCCGCTCTCTCTCTCTCTCTCTCTCCGCTCTCTCTCTCTCTCTCTCTCCGCTCTCTCTCTCTCTCTCTCTCCGCTCTCTCTCTCTCTCTCTCTCCGCTCTCTCTCTCTCTCTCTCTCCGCTCTCTCTCTCTCTCTCTCTCCGCTCTCTCTCTCTCTCTCTCTCCGCTCTCTCTCTCTCTCTCTCTCCGCTCTCTCTCTCTCTCTCTCTCTCTCTCTCTCTCTCCCCCCCTTTCTCTCCTCTCCTCTCCTCTCCCCATGCTTCCACCATCTTGCAATGTGAGACCCATGGGTCACTGTCGCCACCACCAGACAGACTTTGGACTTCTGAGCCTCAGAAACTGTAAGCAATAAATTTTGGGTTTTTTTAATAAATCACCCAGTTTCAAGCATTTTGTTATAAGCAACATAAACGGACTAATACACTTCCCTTGCCACAAAATCTTTACTGGAAGGGGTTTCCCTGAACAAAGACCCCTCATGGCCTTTGGCATTTAGGCTCCATTCCTCTTGGAGAAACAGTCCTTTTGTCCTTTTGCCCAAGCTTCACTACTGGCCATCCAGGATCCCTGGATAGCAGCAGACCCAAGGACAGTCCCCACCTTAGAAAGACCAGGCTACCCCAAAGTAAGCTGCTGAGTCCTTTCATGGCCCTCACAGTTTGAGTATAAACACAGATTTGAGGGAATTTTGCCTAAACACCACCAGTGGTGGTGGACTATGGCAAGGGATACAAAGAATAACACTGGGAACCTAAATGCCAATCTTGTGCTAAGAGTTTACATACCAGAAAGGTATTACTTACTCCATTTTACAAATGATAAAACTGAGGCTCAGAAAGACTAAATCATGGCATACAGTTAATAAGAAGTTAAAGTGAGGATTCAAACTCAGGTCTCTCAGTCTACAAATCTGGGCTTCTTTTCACTCTTTTATACCACACACCTGTTGCCGCCATCCCCAACATTTAGTATTCTACTAGGAGCCCAAGATCAATTGCTTTCACCAAAATAAAGTTTGTTCTATTGCTAAGTATTCACCATGACATCTTCATTTTCTGCCTTGAGAAAGCCAGAAAGATTCTGTTCATATTTTTCACACACATTTTATAACTGTGCATAAATGCAGGATACAAATTGAATGTGATACAACCAAGACAGGATTTCTCAACAGAGACTGTGAGCTGGATCTAGAACTGCGTATCACCCAGGGTCAACCCTCAGAGAGTATCTTCCTCAGTTACACAGGAGAACTTGAGCCCACCTTAATTATTTAGTAAGTTTTAAGTTGCTTAGACTATGGGTAAAGATAGCCTGGACTGCATTACAGGTGTGGAGTGTGTGTGTGTGTGTGTGTGTGTGTGTGTATGTACACACACACACACACACACACACACATACTTGCATACACAGACACATACATATACATGTATATTCTAACTTTAGCTATGGAGAAACTTTTGACTATAAATGTAATTTTCAAAACAAATAACATGCAAAGCTCAAACACACCATTTTACCAAAACAAAAACAATGGCCTAAGGGCTGGCCCGTGGCTCACTTGGGAGAGTGCGGTGCTGATAATACCAAGGCCATGGGTTTGGATTCCATATAGGAATGGCCAGTTAGCTCGCCTGGGAGAGCATGGTGCTGACAACGCTCCCCTTGCTGGTCATCTTTTAAAACAAACAAACAAACAAACAAGCAAACAAACAAAATAATGGCCTATTGCTTAGCTGGTGTACTAATACACTTTCGAACTTCAATTTTTATGAAAGTCAGCAAGGGTGTCAAAGTACCGTCATGAGTCAGCCATCCTTCCAGACAACAACTCTCTAAAGGGATCCACTCATTCATTCATCTGGCCAAAAGACAAAGTGCTTATATGGCAGGTAAAAAATACTTTCGGGTGGAAGAAAAAGTGGTGAGGAATAAAGTACATTGAGTACATGTCAGATGTGCAGTTATTATACTTTGCCCATTATGACCTTTACTCTATAGAATACTGGCAAGAGACAAATGGTAGCTGGGTACCAAGTGGTCAGCTTTATGCAAGTAATGCTAACACATTCTTGGCATGCATTTCCATCAGCAATGCAGCATCATTGCAGCTCCCATTGACCCCAAAGCCAGCACATCATCTCGCATATTTTCTCCATCTCTCTCTCACTTCATCAGCACCATCAAGCATCCAATGATCCAAGAAAGCTGCCCACCCAAGTCATTTCTGACGCACACAGCTTAGGCTAAACAGATGGAAGAAAACACAGATCCCAGTCCTCCAGCTTGTTAAGATTCAGAAGCTTCATTTACACCCATCAAGCTAGAACAGGCACCTCACCCAGCTTGGAATCTAGCACAACTAGACCTCTCCAGGGTCCTGGAAGATGTTCCCTCTACCTCTCCCCAACTCTTTCCACTCCCTCACCTCCCCAACACACCAAAAGCCCTTTGTAAATCCCCCTAGCAGCACGCCCATCCAGTTCTAGGAGTTAAGAGGTCTATCTGTCTGACCTTGCCAGGTGATGGAGATGGGAACCGAACGCTGGTGGGATCGAAGGCAGAGGTGACCCATCAAGTTTAAACACATTTCCCCCTTCAGCAGATGGTTCAAGGCAGGAGGGGGGCAGCTTCGGAGGCTGAGGAAGCCCAAGGCTCCTCTTCTGGGTAGTTGCCCAGTGTGACCCCAAACTGCTTACTCAGAGGCACAGACTGGAGGAAGAAGGGCTTTTCCTGTGACAGGCATCACTGGAGTTTTAAATCCCCTTTGCGTGCGAGGAAAACACACACACACACACACACACACACACACACACACACACACACACACACACACTATCAGGGACTGCCTGCCCGGTATCCACTCTAGAGCTTCTCTGCCTGAGTCCAGCTGACTTACAATAACAGCCAGGTGCACTGAAGTGAGCCTCACCCCTGAAGCCCTGGTCATGGCAGTTCAGGTGCCTAATGAGACAGGAGAGAGCAGGGAAAGGGCTTTACTTCTCTCTTGCAGCCCCAATAAAGGCTGAAGCCTGCCTTCCCCTGCTAAAAACATGACTGGCTTCTGTCTGGGCCAAATTCCAGTGCCTGGGCTGCCTGGGGCCAGCCCCTTGCACAGAGACGGGAAGGTGTCTCCCCTGTGACTCCAGCCTGGGCAAACAGCCTTCCCCGGTGCCATGTTATGGGGCTTCACGTAGGGAGGGTAGCAGGACATGCCTCGTGACCGTCGGACTTCTGGCTAAACCCTTTGTCCCCTGGCTTGTAAGGGCAGAGGGACCTGCCCTCTATCTCAGGACTGGTGAAGTCCAGGGGCAGAGCTCTGAGCCTTCAGCCCTGCAGACTACTTAAGATCGGGGTTGGAAGAAATTTACAATGGGGAAAGAAAAATTTTAAAGCCCAAGAGATTCCGTGCCCCAGAACCCGTCCGCCCCATCTCTGCTCTGCCCGATCTGACTCACCCCAGGGAGGGGCTCTTGGGTGTGGATGTGGGTCCGGCGCCGAGGCCGTGTGGGCTCTTGCAGCTGCCGCCGCCGCCTTCCCGCCGCCGCGCTCTCAGTCCATCTCCGTGCAGTGCCAGCTGCCACCGCCGGGCCGAGCCGGGGAGAAGGAGGGAGGTCCCCGGATTGGGTGTGTGCTGCCCGGCGGCCCCGGGCCCGCCGCCCCGCCGCAGCCGCCGCTTCAGCACCGCGGACAGCGTCCAGCCCGCGCGCTCCGGGCCAAGCCAAGCAGAGAGGAGCCGTGCGCCCCGCTCCGCCCGCCCGTCCGTCAGCCTGAGAGCGGCAGGAGCGCGCCGCGCCGCGTTCTCATTCCTCCAGCCTCCTCCCCACCCGCCCGAGGAGGCTGCCTCCGGCCCCCAGGGCCCAGCTCCAAGAGTAAAGGGCGCCGCGCGAGGCCACCGGGTGGGTCTCCCGAGGACTGGATGCGCCTCTGCCAGCCCCGTCCCAAACAGGGATTAGCGATCTCCTCCCGCCCAGCGGGCTAGACAAAGGCGAGCTGTCCGTGGCAGGACGAGGGCGGGCAGTGGGAAATGCAGCTCAGCCTCTTAAAATGCCCAAGCATGGCCCGGAACCCGACCCAGCACTGACTATGTTATCGCCGCCCAATCCAAGCCAGAGGGGGCCGGCCCCTCTCCTGGGCTGTGCGGGGAGGGGCCCATGGATGGTTCCTGGTTCAAGCACTCATTTCTCCACTGTCATACACCCTGGGGTTGCAAGGAGTTAACCAGTTACAGGCCGGTCTGTCCTGGGAACTAAGAGGTGGGGAGGTGGGGGTGTCCCATCCTCACCTGGAATCCAGTTCTCTCCAACCTCCCATCCTTGGTGCCAGAGCATCAATAAGCCAACAGATGGGACTGCTGGAGCCTGATGACATCACACAGAAACACTTCCACGTTTTTCATTTCTGTTCAAACCCCTTCTGCTGCTCTTTGTCCTCATCCAGGATAGTGCCCAGCTGGAAGAGGGGAAGAGGTTGGTCTGACTTGTCCTCTGCCACAGATCAGCTACATGACCTGGGGCCATCTGAGCCTCAGTTTCTCCTCTGGTTCCCAGTCTAAAATAACACAGCCCGTCTGTCCCTGGTAAGCAGAGGGGAATCCACAGACTGGACATTCACCCCAGGCCCTGCCCACTTCATGGCCTCCCTCAGGCCTTTCTGGAGTCCAAGATGAAGAGACCCCTCCCTTCACTGAACTAAACTGGCAACTCCTGCCTCATTTTTGGAAAGCAACCACAACTTTTTATGCCTCATTAATTCAAATCCAAAGACATCTTCATTTTTTTTTACCATTTGCTGAGCCCCCAGTTTGAAGGGGATAGACTTAATGGAATGAATTCAAATCTAGGTTAATAAATGCTGTCCAAGCAGGCACAGGGAACTCTGCTCAAACATTCACAGGCCATGGTTGTTACAAAAAGAGCTTGGAGTTGAAACATTCATGAAGGGCACAGCTGAAACAAGAGCTGGCATTTGCCATTTGGGAAATTTGGCAGGTGGAGGCAGGGCTCCTTCAATTTTCACATCAATGAGGAAGGATCACAATCAACACATACTATCTTAAAAGAAATAAACAAAACCATTACCTCAACTTGAAAACTGCTTTCAAGAACTTTTAAATCTCCTTTTCTTTCTTTCTTTCTTTCTTTTTTTTTTTAAGTAACATACTGTCAAAACCCAAAGAGAAGAAACAAGTCCAGTGCCCAGGAGCACACATTCCACTAGCACAAAGTTCAAAATTCTGGCTGACATGTCCGTATTTATACTGAAGACCACAAAAGATCCAGGATTTGGAACTAACAAACAATCGAAGCCACACAGCAAAAATTTAAATGTTAGTTCAGTTACTCAGTTATTTTCTGGGTAGTGGAACAGTTCTTGTCTTTTATTTTTGTTGAGGCTCCCAGCAAAATGTTCACAGTACTACTTAGAGATGTTCCATAGTTCTTAAATGAGCAAACCCAGCACAGGATATACCAAGAATGGCATAATTTTAAATCTGCTTTGAAATTTGGTCTAATTCATATTCCCCTCCTCCCCCACCTCCAGTCCCCACCCTAACAAGCCAATCCTTGGGATGGCAGCCTAGCCTAGGTCTGTCTTCCTGGTAGTCAGGTGAGAAAGAGTCTCTGGGCTGCTAGAAAATCCATAGAACGAGCTCCTTGCCAGGGGTGATAAAGACAAATGGGCACTGAGAAGGCGTTCTGAGTAGGTTATTACATAGATGTATTCGGGACCCTTCCAATAACGCTACAAATTAAACGTGAGGGAAAACGGGAACCCACACAACAGGAGTGGCCTATTCTCATCATAATAGCGTCGAAACACAGAGACTGCTCCACAGGAGTGGTCGGGAGAATAGGCGAGCCACGTTCATTTCCTGCCTAATAAAAAATGCACTTGCCACTTCCATCAAAGTAGTAACTGACATAATACTACTCAAGAAACAAAGCAAGCTAGCAACCAGCTTATATTTTATTTATTTATTTCAGTTTATTTATTAATATATTTTTTTACATTCTAAGATGTTATTGTGGAGCAGTTGGAGGGGAGGTGAAGAGAAGGGGGAAGGAAATATGGTGGAAGAAGGAGGAAGGAGCGGGGGGCATGGAGCCACCAGCTTTTACAGAGCATCAGGTGTGAAGTGAGGCCTAGGATGGACTCCCGGCTGTCACTATGAAATCCAGGACAAGTCACCTTCTCTCTTTGGACCTCAGTCCTGCAGTGTCTTTCAGTGCTAAAAATCCAATGGCTCTTGAGAAATAACCTGTTGCACATATGGTCAAGTGGTTTTTGACAAGTGTGCCAAGACCATTCAATGGGGAAAGGACAATCTTTTCAACAAACAGTACTGAGAAAAGTGAATATCCACATGCTAAAGAATGAAGTTAGATCCTTACCTAACACTGTATAATTAACTCAAAATGGATCCAAGACCAAAGTATAAGAGCTAAAACTATAAAACTGTTAGAGACAAACATAGAGCAAAAGCTTCAAATTTGGAACTGGTAATGATTTCTTGGATATGACACCAAGGCACAGGCAACAACAAAAAAGTAGACAAAGTGGGCTTCATACGAGTTTTAAATTTTGTGCATCAAAGGACACTATCAACAAAGAAAGAAGATGACTCCGTAGAGTGGGAGAAAATATTTTCAAGTTATATATCTGAGAAGGGATTAATATCTAGAATAAATAGAGAACCCCTGAAATTCAACAAAAAGCAACTTAATTTAAAAATGGACAAAGGACTTGAATAGACATTACTCCAAAGAAGATATACAAATGGCCAATAAGCCCATGAAAAGATGCTTGACCTCACTAATCATTAGGTAAATGCAAATCAAAAGCACAATGAAAAACTACCTCACACCCATTAGGATGGCTACTATCACAAACACACATATACACAAAACAGAAAATAACAAGTGTTGGCAAGGATGTGGAGAATTTGGCACTCTTGTGTTGGTGGGAATGTAAAATGGTGCCGCTGCTGTGAAAAACAGTGTGGAGATTTCTCAAAAAATTAAAAATAGAATTACCATCATGACACAGCAATTCCACTTCTGGGCATATCCCAAAAGAATTGAAAGCAGGGTCTCAAAGAGATATTTGTATACCAATGTCCACAGCAGCACTATTCACAATGATGGTACTTCAAAAAGTTCATGGAAAATGGGATTTAAATATGATATAAATCTTTCCATGAACTTTTTGAAGACTCCTTGTAGCTACAACATGGAAGAAGCCCAAGTGTCTATTTATGGATTAATGGATAAGCAAAATGCAATATATACATACAATAGCATATTATTCAGCCCTAAAAAGGAAGGGAATCTACATGCTACAACATGGATGAACCTTGAGGACATTGTGCCAAGTGCAATAAGTCAGTCACAAAAAAACCAATAGTGTATAATTCCACTTATATGATGTACCTAGAGTAGTCCATAGAGACAGAAAGTAGAATCCATAAAAGTAGCAATCCATAGAGACAGAAAGTAAAATGCTGGTGACCAGGGGCTGGGGAATGTGGCAATGGGGAGTTAGTGTTTAATGCATACAGAGATTCAGTTTTACAAGATGAAAAGAGTTATGGAGATGGATGGGGGTGACAGCTGCACAACACTATGAATGTACTTAATACTACTGAACTGTACACTTAAAAATGCTTATGATGGTAAATTTTATGTTAGGCATATTTTAGCACAATAAAAAAAATTCTTAAACCCACTGGTTCTTATCTAAAGTACAGATATTAACAAAGAATAGAAGAGAATTTAAAATAACTTTAGGTAGTTGAGTTTCACATCAAAGTTATCTCCCTTGAAATATGTTTATGTGCATAATGTTTAAAAACTTGTGATAATAAAGAATAAAAAAAAGGAAAAACAAATAAATTCAACCCGAATGCCATCCTTGTAGCCTTGGCTGGCCAAGGCGCCCTCAGTGAGGATCCAGCCCAAGATACCAGCATTTCCCTCAGCAGTCACCAAGCAACCACATCCACATATAGTCAGGGCCTTGTGTGACTGTCCTCACATCTCCTGACAAGTTCTCAAAATCATAATGCCCTTCCTGCATGAAGCCCACGAGCAGTAGGGCAATCAAAGAAGATACAGCAGAAGAGTAAATTTTCAGAAATACAGATGGCTAAAATGCCAAGAGCCAGTGAGAAGAACCACTTGGCATGTCTCATGTGTACTAAGCAGCTTGACTGGCAAGGAGCTAACTTCGAAATAACAATGATTAATAAGTTAAAAAAAAAAGAAAAAAGGACAAAATGGATTAATAGATGTAGCATTTCAACAGAATTGGAAATCTATAAAAATAATTAAAATAGATATTCAAGGATTTAAAAATATAATATCTGAAATTAAGAATTATTGGATAGATTTAATAGAATGGGTAAAGGTAAAAGCAGGTTTAGTGAACTTCAAGACTGGTCAATCAATAATATTTAGAGAGAAAAAAGAATAGAGCATAAAAGACACATGGGAGACAGCGAAAAGGCCTAACATACATGTAATCCCACAAGAGGAAGAAAGAAGAGAGAACAGGTCAGAAGCAATTGTGGATGAAATAATGACCATGAATTTTCCCAAATCCAATGAAAGACATTAACCCACAGATTCAAGAAGCTTAGTGAGCCCTAAGAGGGAGAAATATAAACCTTACCTATGCACATCATAGTCAAAGTCCTGAAGATAAACAGAGAGAGAATTTTAGAAGCAGCTGGAGAAAAAATATATATTATCTTCAAAGGAGCAATAATATAACTCACTGTTGTCTTTTCAATATATAGAAGAAAGAATACAATAGCATCTTTAAAGCATAAAAAAAGGAAGGAAGGAAGGATGGAAGGAACTTCTAATCTAGAATTCTATACTGCAGTGAAAAGAGCCTTCAAACATTAAGGTGAAATAAAGATGTTTTCAGGTGAAACTAAAAATAAAAAGCAAAGAATTCACTGCCAGCAGACATGTA